TATACATCATCATAGCCAAAACCTTAGAGGCAGAAAATACCCAAGGACAAGTACATGGGTGCACAAAAGGATAAAAAAAAGCATGCGGAAATCATTATTTATCACCTTCCTTCTCCTCTAATGCCAGCAAGCAGTGACTGAGTGACGTTTACTGGAGAAGGCGCAGGGTCAACCCAGAGGGTTTTAGTACCACTTGCATTGCTACCTTCGGGCTGATAGTTGAGGCGGTCATTACTATGCTTGGATGCAGTTGATGGGGTATCATCCTTCATCAAAAAGCTACTTTTTGACAATGTCGTTACATCTTTAAAATCATAATCTGTCAAATAGCTCGGCTTCGACATGACAGTGCCTATGTCAATATCTCCAGAGAGCATTGCCACCACGCGTGACATAGATGGCCTCATCATCGGTGATGCCTGCGTGCACAGGAGAGCTGCTCTTATCAGTCTAGTCCCTTCAGTTTTGTCAAATTCTGTCAATCTCGGATCCACGAGCCCCAGAATTTGGTCGTTTTCATGTAGAGTCCATGTCTGAAAAACATTATGCCATGGTCCAAGAAAAAGGGTGAATAAGTTTTTCACAACAATGCCAAAATAAAGCTAGGGGAATGCAATTCCTACCCATTCAAGAAGATAAATCTTTTCTGGATCTAAGTTATTGTCAGAGTTTGGTCTCCCGCTGAGGATCTCCAAAGCAACGACTCCAAAACCAAACACATCAGCCTTCTCTGTCAAATGTCCACGCATTGCATACTCTGGTGCCAAATAGCCTCTGCAATGCAAGATAATCAAATGGTTGTACAATGTTTCCTGAGATCATTAGTGGCATTATTAACATGATGTGTATTAAAATTTCATGCAAGTATAAATGTGTGTGGCTATAATATATGTAACCTATAGAAAAACAATAAAGGATGGCTTACATTGTCCCTGCAACCCGGGTGCTGATGTGGGTTTTCTCGTCATCATAAAGCTTTGCCAATCCAAAATCTGATATTTTTGGGGAGAGTTCTGCGTCGAGCAAAATATTACTGGCTTTGACATCTCGATGTACAATCCTTGGCCTTGACTCCTCATGGAGGTAAGCAAGTCCTCTTGCTATTCCCAACAATATATTGAATCGAGTAGGCCAGCTAAGGTGCAAGTTACTTGTCCCTGAAATATTAGTGAACACATCCAATCAAAAACATTTTTTAAGTAATTTTAGAGTGCTTGAAACTGTAGAAAATGTTGTTTCTATGAAACCTAATTGTAGATAGGTTTGTACCAAAAAGTGCCTGATCAAGGCTCTTGTTTTCAAGATACTCATAAACCAAAATGCGTTGGCTGCCTTCGATGCAGCATCCATACAATTTCACTAGATTCCGATGCTGCACAGCAGATATGGTAGCAATTTCAGATACAAATTGACTCTTCCCTTGGTGAGATGATACTGAAAGTTGCTTCACAGCCACTCTACCATCAGAAAGTGTACCCTACAATGTACACAGAAACACAATTTAGTGACGTGAAAGGAAAGAAAAAAAAAGGTAAATTACACTTTCCTCCCTCTTCTTCTTCTTCTTCTTCTTCTTCTTCTTCTAGGTCGCTAGGGGGGGGAGGACAATTTTTTTTTCTTTTTCTTTCTTCCTCCCTATTATTCTTCTTCTTGCAGATCTGGGGTTTTTTTTTTTTGTTGAGAAAATTCAGGATTTAAAAAAAATTAAAAAAATATTTTATTTGCCACGTGGCAAACATTTGGCAGCCACGTGGCACAAATGTGGTAGCCACGTCAGCATTTAACGGATTAATGGATGGAAAATCTAACGGATGTATTATATTGAAATAAAATAGTACTTGAGGTATGAAAGTGAAATGTTTTAAAGTTGTTGTGTGGAGTTGTAATAGACCTCAAAACCTGAGAGGCTACTGTGTAATTTAACAAAAAAAAAAGCTATATTTTCTTCTCTTGCTCACTCGCTCTCTCTCTTTTCCCTTGTCATTACTTCAAGTACATGATATTGATGTAATACGGATTTCACCTTATAAACAGAGCCATATCCTCCCCTCTCCTAGCTTATTTGAAGGATTAAAATCTTCAGTTGCAGCTCTCAATTCAGCATAACTGAAAGTATATGACCGGAGGCCTAATCCTAAAATATCTGCACATACACGAAACAGTATGACATAAGTTTTACTTTCGTGAAAGCATTCTTACTTCTGTGTGTTAATGTTAGAGCAGAGAAACTTATGTATAGAATCGCAATATAGTCGTTTACCTTCATCATCCTCTTTTTTTGATTTTTTCCTCCTCATATATAGAATCGCAAATATTAATAGCAAGCTCGCAACTCCAACAGGAATTGCAATGCCGACTATCAACCCAGTCCTGCTCTTCTTTCCTGGAGTAGTTGGTGGAAGCTCGGAAACTGTTGGTGTAAAATCTGAGCGATAAAAGAGAAATTCTTCAGTGTAAATGAACAACAGAAAATATATTTAAACCATTCACAGGAAATCTCTATAAGTAAACACAATATACCTGAAGCAACATGGACAGCTGCTATTAGTGGGCCATAATCACCTTGTTTGGGTATGCAACAAGTCCCTTTACCAGCCCAGAACAGATGAATTTCAAGATAATTCTCTGACACGCTAACATTGAATCTTCTCACAACTGCACGGCTAACCCCACCTGCCTCTTTCGATATGTCAAAATCCTTCGTCCTGCGGGTACCCTTGCAACCAAATGAAGAGGTAGGTGATAGTTCTAATCTCCTTTAAATCACTGTCTTTAGTTAATGTAGCTTAAAACATCGAAAACCTGTCCAATGAGTGTTTACTTCAAATAAGTTAGAATTTTTATTCTATAAGTAGTTTTACCTGAATATAGATATCAAATACACGCCGTCCTAGACTTTCCCATTTTTGCGAAGTGTGATTTTCATAAACCGTCTCTGCAAAGTGCAATGTTACAGTGTAAGGCCCATTCTCAAGGCCCAGGCCATAGTATCTCAGTGATCCTGGGGACATTCTTGAAGTCTGGAAAAGCTCTGGGGTCACATCTGTTCCGGTGACTTGTGCATCGGCATTTACCAGAAACGATGGGTCCTTTCTGTCAGAAAACAAACCGGCATTGCTGACAGCCCATTTCCATGTACTGGTTATACTGAATGTTGCTGGGCCAAGAGCTGAGTCTTCAGTCTCATACAATATGCCATCACTTCCCGTCATTTGTTTTCCACCACACTTGATTGAGAAGTTTGCATCTGTAAAGTTTCATGTAATGCCAGAAGCTAGCCATGATTAGCGATGAAACGTCAAATTGAAGACTCATATTTTTAGCCAGTTATGCGTATTACTGAACTTATGAACATGCTTGCAATCTATATCCATATGTATACATAACTAGAGAAGCAATGCCTTTTCCTCTAACATGATGTTGCGCTAAAATAGTAAATGATGGGTGACATAAGAGCAGATTACATCGTGGGGTATTTTGATTGCATGGAAAATTTCTCTGAAGGCAATTCAATCCAGGAAGACTACAAACACAGAGAACAATTATTAGTTATCCAAATAGAATCATGTAGTGGAAGAGTAGTGATAGTATTGCTTGTCTAAAACGAGTAAGAGAAACTTCAACTCACGCTATGTTTGAACTGTCAAATGTGAAGTTGTTGACCGCTAAGTTCCTGCAAAAAATCATTAATCAATCAACATATGAAGAAATATATCTTTATCAAAGGAAAATTCCATGTACAAGATCAAAACTTAGTAGGCAGGCAAGTAGCACGGTGAAAACGAATCTCAGTGATAATTTTTTGTCCGAACATATTCTGGTGATTTAAACTGTAAAATGAAGGTGAAAGATAAAAGGACACGAACAATTGCGATGTTTTGGTCCCCCACTCAGGAAAGCTTCCTAATAAAAAATTGTAAGATAAATCTCTGCAAATAACAAAATAGAAACAGATTACACAAAATGCATGAAAGTTATTAAGAACTTGTGTAAGATAGGATTAGAATGCTTACGATTATACACAAAACACATACATGCACCGTGCATTCTATATGACTACTTCAAGAAACGAGGACTTACATAGTCTGAAGTTGACTGTTTTTTTCACTTGGAAGAGGTCCGGAGAGACTATTGTTTCCAAGAAACCTGGCCATTTCGATTATAGTAGAAGGCATCCAGAAAAGAAAAAAAGATGAACAAACAAAAGGTCAGATGTGCACAAAATGTAGAAGGATTAGTCCAGATCTTCAATCAAAGTAGGGAATGTATGATAAGGCAAGAAAAAGATAATAATAAAGACGGGGATTACAAGGATGTAAGAGCACTCATGGTGAACAAAGAACTTGGGAGTTGGCCTGTCAAATTGTTGAAACTCAGATCCCTGCAACACCAACGGTAAGTTGAGAGGAGCAATCAGAAAGAAAGAAAACTAATTGGTCTCGTTGGGACTCAAGCTTATATTTGCTGGTACGTACAGAGTCTGTAGACTTTGATATTCTCCAATATCAGATGGGATGGTACCAGTGATTAATGCATTTCGTAGTTTTCTGTATTCCAAAAACATAAAATTTGATAAAAAGTAGATGGAGTACGATATCAAATTTCAAAAGGAAAAAGAAGTTAGATGAAAGTATCTGGATTGATGAGAATCTTCACTTACAATTCAGTCAAGCTTGTCCATTTTTTTATGAAATCAAGAGAGGAGCTCCCATTGTATATATCACTGATTCGCCTACATCAGTATATGCAAAATAAACTGAAATCCTGTCTTCGGAGAAAGAGAGAGAGAATTACAATTTATGAAACATTTGTACTTACAGAGACTTCAATGAGGTCAGTTAGAGACTTCAATGAGGTCAGTTGAGAAAAGTTGGTTGGTATTGGGCCTTCGAAAGAGTTCCCTTGAAATTGCCTACAGAAACATATAAGAAGCTTGTGAACAAATTATCCACCTCAGGTCTGCTTTCATAAAAGGTTTCTCTACTTACAACTCAATGAGTTGTGTCCAATTCCCTATGAAATCAGGTATCTTTCCTGAGTACGGACTGTCCGATGCCCAGCTAAAATTCAAAAAGTTGACTTATACTAAGCTCATCCAAGAAAAGCAATCTCAAAGTACTGGATATACGAACAAATATAAAATACGATTTAAGAGCCGTTCTTACAGGGTTTGCATGTTGGTGAGCTTGGCAAATGTTGAAGGAATTTCACCACTGAGTCCACAGCTGTCAATGTAACTGTGAAAATCATAAGGCAATTGATGAGTACCCATTTCATACGATAAAGTGCAATTTTTGCTCATCCGTAAGGAATTAACATGTAATTCAAATTTGATGATTTAACGAAGCACTTACTGGTACTCGAGCTTGACTAAATTACCAAGTTCTGGAGGGAGTGTTCCGGAGAAATTATTTGTTCCAAGGCTCCTGCAAGTCATGTTGAACAGGCAAACACTTACTTGAAAGCAGTTATTGAAGGTTCTGTATCTAATGCTTATGACACAATTTTACTGTACACTTTCTCATTTTTCAAGGCTTACAGCACAGTTAGCTCCTTTAGGTTTCCAAGCTCCTTGGGGATGGGCCCAGATAATGAATTGATGCCCACTGACCTGAATGGAGATATCAGTTAGTGAAAAATAAGCACCATTAAACTTAAACATTACATAACCGGAAACTAATGCTGCATTATTCAATAAAAGCATAATGATTTTTTGTAGATTAACGAAGCACTTACATTTCCTCGAGCTTGACTAAATTACCAAGTTCTGGAGGGAGTGTTCCAGAGAAGAAATTTGATCCGATCTTCCTGCAAGTCATGTTGAACAGGCAAACACTTACTTGAAAGCAATTATTGAAGGTTCTGTATCTAATGTTTATGACACAAAATTTTACTGTAAGCTATCATTTTTCATGGCTTACAGCACATTTAGCTCCTTAAGGTTTCCAAGCTCCTTGGGGATGGGCCCAGAGAATGAATTGACGCCAATTGACCTGAATGGAGATATCAGTTAGTGAAGGATAAGCACCATTAAACTTAAACATTACATAACAGGAAACTAGTACTGCATTATTCAATAAAAGCATAATGATTTTTTGTAGATTATCGGCATAAATAGTAGCGAAAAGGTGTAAAGAACATAACTGTAGATCATGATATTCAAAATGAAGTATACAAATTGCTACGGGTCTCATCAGAAGTATGTGTACTTAAAGAAATGTTCTCTCACTACTTACAATTCAGTCTACTTAAAGAAATGTTCTCTCACTACTTACAATTCAGTCAATGCAGACATATTGCCAATGAATGCCGGTAGGGGACCGGTGAAATAATTATGGTCGATACTCCTACAAAAATTGAAAGGAAGTGTAATCGTTAACTCTTAATCTTACAACATCACCATATTTTTGTTGAACTCCCACATCGGCTAGAGAAATAAAGAAAGAAGAGTTTAAATATCCAAATCTCACTCCAACTAATGCCGAGACCTTTTGAGATAAACCCCATACCTTTAAAAGGTCTCGGCATTAGTTCTAAATGTTCAATCTTTTTGCTTTCCAGGAGAGCCTATGCCCTTAACATTCGAGGGGTGTTTCCAGAAGAATTTGTGGCTCTAAGATATCTCACATATTTGTATGATTTTTTTTCAACTCCCTTCTCTGTTTTTGGTTCATCAAAATCATATATTGGATATTAAAAATTGTAGAATTATCAGAGAGACGGGCCAAAAATTCACTTCCAACAACACTGGTACTATCTTTAACTTGGTAATTACCACATGCACAATCAGTTGGATATTACCAAAAATTGTGCATGTGGTAATTACCAAGTTAAAGATAGTACCAGTGTTGTTGGAAGTGAATTTTTGGCCCGTCTCTCTGATAATTCTACAATTTTTAATATCCAATATATGATTTTGATGAACCAAAAACAGAGAAGGGAGTTGAAAAAAAATCATACAAATATGTGAGATATCTTAGAGCCACAAATTCTTCTGGAAACACCCCTCGAATGTTAAGGGCATAGGCTCTCCTGGAAAGCAAAAAGATTGAACATTTAGAACTACAGAAAATGGAGCGACACAGTCAAATTATGACGTTAATATATATAGGTAGCAAGTGAAAAATCAGCAGTGGCATGGAAATCTTGTTCATCAGGAGAGAGTAGTTTAACATACAGTTGGTTGATATTGGGGCTATCAATGTCGGTGCCATCGATGGCAGATCCACTGCAGGGTTCTCCACTGATATTCCCATGCCCCGACACTACTTGTGTGTCCCATTGTTCAAATATTGAGTTCAACGCCCTCACTGCACTCTCAGTTAATTAATTCAGTCCTTGTGTGTATTAGATTATATCACCATATTAATTCAATCCTTGTGTGTATTAGATTATATCACCATAATTTGACTTGTGTTACCACTTACCAGACTATCTCGAATCAAACGAGAGATCAAATTGATTATTACAGAGGAAAATTACCCTTAATTTGTGGATGTTTTGTATATGGGAAGAGAAAGGGCTTTACAAATAAGTTCCTCGAAACTTCATTTCATATAATCGAAAAACACTTAAAATATCATTTTGTTGAAGGAAAAAAAAGCCCAGTTCCTGGTAAAAAACACTTAAATGTGGCAAAGAATGTGTGTGTAGGGAGATAGAGACAGAACCTTCAGATGGATCAGTGGTAGCATTTTGAGCAAAGGACAGCTGAAACCAGAAGTAGCTGAGGAAGCAGAGTAATAGTATCCTCATCATCAACTTAATCTTCATATTGTACATGTGCAGAACTTGCTCTCCTCGACGGCGTGAACATAAACGACCAACACTTATATTCCGACTGGCTGAATCATGCATTGCATGTAAGAAGAAGAAGATCATTAGATTTTAGTCATATATTGACAACGTATACATATATAATCTTTATATATTATATAAAGCCAAGGGACAATGAACATTATTTTTTAATGTCACAAGCTTCACATAAAAATAATTAGACAAAAATGCCCCTCAAACAAAAAACTTCAAAAGCAATTCAAAATAATACATCAAATATAGCAAGAGTATTTTCGTCATTTTAGTAATGTTTTTTTAATAATTAAATTTTTTGTACAGTTTTTTTTCTTTTTTTAAATAATTAGTACCTCACAATTGGCTAACAAATGTAATTCGGTTGTTCATTAAATATTATTTTCTCTATTTTAAACACGTTCAAAACATCTTAAGAAACGTGTAATGCCGGTTATCAAAAAGGTTTTTCGAGGTAATAATGTGATTAAATTAATTGTCAAATGATTTTTTTTTAACAAATGATATTATCTACACTAAGGGGGAGGGATGGGCTTAGCCTCACAATGAACCAGCAATAATGTGATTCAATCAATTGTTTATTAATATATTATTTTCTCTATTCTTAATATAAATTCAATAGAGATTGATTTTATTATGTGAATTCAGCTGCTTTAATTGGTTTATGAGAGGTTTCTTCTAGCATAATCGAAGATTATTCATTTACTTAAAATATTTGACTTTCCTTTTGTCAATTTACGTATATAAATATATTTAAAACATGTAAGTTACACGTAACACGCTGTGATTCAAAAAATGCCTTATGCACGCGCTTGAGCACGTGCATGAAGGTTAGTATAGGATAAATTACAAAAACTAGCTCAATTATTAGTGGAATCACAATTTCATACCTTATGTTTTAAATGATGACATGACAGAACGAGACCCACTTTTTTGCCAACTTGAATAAAAAATTAATAAATTAATAATTTTTTATTTGACAATTAAAATTAAGTTTAAAAATTAAAAAAAAATACCTCTCCTCCTTGTTCTGTGGAAATCGTCCCCGTTCCTCCTCCCATCACTCCTTCCTCCGCTCTCCTTCTTCCTCGTCCTCCTTAAACACAGCCAATTTTCGTCCTCCTCCGGGAACAACTGATACACCGCCGATCGCAAAACGCAGGTGGGTTTCGATGGCAAACCAAAACCAGACCCCAAATAAGGGGGTTTTGATGGCAAACAAAAAACCAGACCCAAATCATCTTGCTCCAACAGTCTTTACATAAAACTAATTTGATTTCTTCATCATAAGTTCACTAAGATTTCGCACAACTAGTTCACTAAGATTTCGCACAACTGAGCATTAGAAACCATCCCCCTTTCATTTTCCCTCTCTTCAAATCCCATCACCGACTGGGGCTTTCGCCCCACTGCCATTTCTTCAATTTCTTCTTCTTCACCATTTTTCTAAGAAAAACCACCAAACGAAATTGCAAAGGGAGAGTTCCAGAAAGCCAAAACGAAGAACCCCACAAAAACAAAACCCAAAAGGAAAAACACAAATACAAACCCAGAAAATTCAAGAAGTTAGAGAAATTAATTTTTTTTTAAACTAGAGAAATTAAAATTTCAAAAATTCAAGAAGTGGCCATTTGAAAATTCACCCATAACTCCGGATTTTCGAAATCCTCCATAATATTAATTGAAGAATGGAAGTTCATTACAGTCCAATTTTTTTTATTTTTCTTTCCCCTTTTTTTTTCCCATTTTCTGGGTTACCACCACTGCTACAGATTCGCTTCCCCGATGCGTGTCAACCTCTACACCTTCTCATTTCCGTCTCCGTCCGTTCGGTTCTCCATCAACCATCATTCGAATCGATCCACTGCCGTTTCAAAGAAAACCGGACCGATTTTGATGCCGAAGAAGACATGTATGTGCTCGCCGACGTCGTAGCCAGATCATTTCGTTGCAACCTCCACAAGAACCAGGGAGGGAGTCAAAACACCGGATCTTTTCCGTCGAACAGATTGATTATGTGCCGATCTGATATGACGAACTCGCTGGTCCGAATCGGTGGACTCGAAGGCGGCAGATGGACAAGGAAGAAGGGGGACGGAGCAGGGGGGGAAATGAAGAGAGTTTTTTTTTTTTTTTTTTTTTAAATTAAGTTTAATTGTGAAATAAGAATTAGTAATTTATTATTAATTAATTAATTTTTTATTCAAGGTGGCAAATGAGTGGGTCCCACTCCTACCACGTCATAATTTAACAACTAAATTGACAGAAAATTTAATGGAGGTCTGACATTGTAACGAATACATATATTGAGGTATGATATTGCAATGTTTAAACCATGAGGTATGAAACTATGGTTCGACTAATAATTAAGGTAGTTTTATGTAATTTACCCTATAATATATTTTAACCAAGTTGAATGATCAAATGGCGGCCACTTTTTTAACTTCCCACCAGGAGTTGGCCAAGACTTTGATCATATAGTTGAATTGTATACTGTAATATTACACATTGAGCTGCTTTAGTGTTGAAATATTTATGTACAATTCTAGATTGTTAATATTTTTCTGGTTTAAAAATCAAGGGATTGACTTATGGATTAACATTCTTGCTCAGTTGGTCAATTACTGTAATTAGGGAGAGGGATTTTTCTCGATAGCAAAAGAACAAAGGATTAATTCTTTGTTAGTTGGTGATTTTGATATGACATCAAATGAGGATGTCATTGTGACAATTTTTAAACTAATCACATTATTATGTCTAACAAAACACATGACACACTATTCGATTAGTTTTTTTTTTTTGCTTTCTAAAAAGATGGGCACTAGTGTCGAACCACGGTCATCTACCTCTTTCGAATTCGGAAAAGGCTAGTTGGAAATTGTACCTTACCTACCGATGACCTTGTTCAAGCAAGTACGCAGATTACAAAGTAACGAACTCAAGACTTTCACGATTAGCTTAAAAAATTGCTAAAATTGCATGTATGTTGTAAGTTTGTCCGGTAAAAGAATAATATTTCATTCATAATTTTGCGTATAAATACAATGATAAAATGAATTTAAGATAAGTGGACATGGATTTTTTTCAAAGAAAAACAAAGGTGGGATTTTCAAAAAAAAAAAAAAAAAAAAAAAGGGTAAATTACATAGTAACCCCTCAGGTTTGAGATCTATTACAATCTCATACAACATCTTTAAAACATTTCACTTTCATACCTCACGTACTAATTTATTTCAAAATAATACGTCCGTTAGATTTTTCATCCATTGATCTGTTAAATGTTGACGTGGCTGCCACATTTGTGCCACGTGGCAAAAAAAAAATTTAATTTTTTTTTAAAACCTGAATCTTCTCAAAAAAAAAAAAAAAAAAAAACTAAATCATCTTCCCCCGTTGCTCTGTTCCCACTTTCTTCTTCTTCGTATTCACTTTCATCTGCGCTTTCTCTCTCTTTCTCTCTTCTTCCTCTCCAATCCTTCTCATTCTTCCTCTCATCCTTCTTGCTCATCTTTCATTTCCCAAAACGCCCATCTCTCTCCCCAAAATTCCCTCAAAGTCTGCCTAGCAGACCTCCCCAGATCCCTCAACTATGGCCTCCTCGAAAAGTATTAGGCTTCCGGCCTCGATTCTCACCTCCAAATGGACACCGACCACCAAATCCCTGATGCAGCTGCTGCTGAAGCTAGACTAGATGCCCGAGGTGGACCCCACGGTGAGGCAAACGAGGAGAAAGGTGAGTCATCAGATCGTGGGGTTGCAGGAGATCGTGGACCTTCCCCTTGGAGTCAATCTCGTCGGATCATGTCACCGTTGAGGTTGGAGTCAATCTCGTCGGATCATGTCACCGTTGAGGAGAAGCATGATGGCCGATGATGAAGAGGTGGGGGATGATCTCGGCAGATCTGAAACGGGGAAAGTCGAATATGAATCGGAGAAATGTGGGGGAGAATGAGATCTAGGCGTTTGTTTGGATGTGATTGGGTGGGTTTTTGAATGGGAAGGGAGGTGAAGAGAGTGGAGGAGAGGGAGGTGAGGTTGGGGGTTTGGTGAGGGAGGCGGGGTTGGGTGGGATGGGGTGTTTGGGTTGCAGGGAAAGGGGAGGGCTCAAGGAAGGGTTGCGAGGAAGGTGGGGTGTGGGTTCTGCATTTTTCAGTTTTTTTTTTTTTTTTTAATTTTTTTGGTGAGAAGATTCAGGTTTTTTTAAAAAAAAAATTTTAATATTTTTTTGCCACGTGGCACACATTTGGCAGCCACGTGGCACAAATGTAGCAGCCACGTCAGCATTTAACAAATTAATGGATGGAAAATCTAACGAAGGTATTATTTTGAAATAAATTAGTACGTGAGGTATGAAAGTGAAATGTTTTAAAGATGTTGTATGGGGTTGTAATAGACCTCAAACATGAGGGGTTACTATGTAATTTACCCAAAAAAATATTTCTGGTGGAATTTTCAAAAAGGAAAACTAATGAAAAGGGCTTGAAAACTTTGAGTTTTAATGATAAGGACAAAATAAAGGGTAAAGTGAATAGTACCAGGATTGACTTTTTAATGTAAAAATATGGTTTTTCGTTAAAGTGAACAGTACCGGGAGCTTTTCGTTAAAATTCCCTTTTCAAAAGTTGTGGCTGAACTGAAAATTCGATCGGGATGAAAATATCTGCAAGTTGAGTTGAATGATGCAGCAAGAAAAGTCAAAAGAGGATATGTTTTGGGAACGAGATTCTCTTCGGATCTACTTTGTGGGGATCCTAAATATCCTCACATCGTAGCCGTTCATCGTATATCATACGGTCAGTTTTTGTCAGATACTATTTGTGTTTAATTTTAAATAAAAAAATCAAATGATTTCTAAGCACACGATACACGATCCTCACAAAGTGGATTCTGATGAGATCCAATTCCTAACATAATGAGAATGAAGATGAAAGGTGTTTGATTATGAGTTTAAAATGATAATTCAGTGTTTGGTTAGTAAGATACAAATATTGGCATAAAGTTTTGAAATACACATGTTGTAA